CCCCAAAACCCCAAAACCCCAAAACCCCAAAACCCCAAAACCCCATAGACTTAAACTAAATTGAAATTTAATGGAGTCTAGAAGAAAGGGCACCGCTATTATTGGATATCATATAGAAAATGTAAGTTTCCTTTCAGGACTCAGAGCCACCCACTGAGATGTTTACCTAACTCCTTTATAGTCACCTGCGTATAAGCCCAGTCCATTCAAGAAAAAGAAACTTGATGTTGGAAAAGCTACAAGAAATGCTCCAAAGAATAAACGGAGCAAGGGAAGACAACCCAAGCAGTTCTTTGAACAGGATGATACTAGTGAAGACTGCAAGCCTCGTAGAGTTCCTGATTTCGCAGCTAATGAGAATTCTTCTGTGCTAAAAAGAGTAAGACAAAAAACTAGTTTAATAATATATTACCGAAAGCAATAACTAGCTTATGTTAGTTCTATTAAACTTTGTAGTATAATTTGGGCTCGATGAATCCCAAAATTACAAAATAAGGACACACAGTTTCCGGAATAATACTGAATATAGGACAGGAAAGGTATCCCAAGGTTTAGACAACATGAAAGGCCTTGCTGTAAGTATCCAAGATATCACAAGAGATACCAACTAACTTTTTCATCCAAGGATTCAGTCCGAGAGTTTTTTAAATTGTGGTGTTAATGCATAATATAGTTAGCAATGTTTATGAAGAGGATTTGTCCTGCATGAAGATGATTTCTCAACCATCTATTGATCGAAAAGCTGCTACTCCTCAGCAGAGGAGCTCCAGACTTATGGTCGACAAGAGATCCCAAAATTGAGAAGAAAGTATTGCCAAAGCCAGAGTTGATCACAAATTCCAATCGTGTGATAAAAAGTACGTCCTTCCTCTTTGCATGTTTTCATTATTTAGAGAAAAGGTTAAAAAGAACCTGAAAATCCGAATTGAAGACAACTTCAAGAACCTTAACACTAGTAAAAGACTTCCCACTGAAGTTATGAAATTTGATAAAAATTATATGAAAAATGCATTTAAGAGTGAAACTAAATAACCATTCTCAATTCCTAGTCGCTGAGGCCAACCAGAACAATCAGAAGGATGGTGTTTTGTACCAGAGCAATGACTCCAAGAACCTCTTAGGCTTCAGTAAGTTACTAAAAACAGGAATACATTTTTAATTCAAGGCTTAAATTTTGAGAAGATGCTCAGTTAAAACTTGCTTGAGGCATTCACTGTTTTTGCATTCCTAGTAATATAATACTAAGAACAATTTAGAGGAACTTTAAAACTGTTCGGCTGGATTATACAGTATTAGAAAGTTCATAATCAATTTCTGTTGAATAATGACTTATTTTAATAGGGAATAATCGTCATTTAATGTCGCATTCTATTGTGAACTCTCCAATGCCTCAGAGCAAAGTGGGTTCAGTGTCTAATTCCAAACTATCTTATAATAAGAATCAGAGTGAGCAGGAAGAAAACAAGTCTGAAGCTTTCTTTGGTAAAGAAAGAGAGAGGGTCTGGAAAAATGCATTACAGTGAAACAATATTAACGAACATTCTCATAAAAAGAGCTCTCAGACTGGACATGAATACCCTCAAAATCCTTTCCTTCATACCATTAAGGCTCTTGAATCTGAAAGCAGCAAGAATACTCCAGGTTTTCACAAGAAGTCTAGCAATATATTTATGTTTAAATAAGCTATTAACCAAATACCGCACCTCTCTTCTCTCTAAAAGCACTCTATCTCCCATTTATCCCCCTTAAAGTCCCCCAAGGGTCTTAAAATCCCTTCCTGCACTCCTATTCCTCTTCAGGGTTTGACCAAGACTCATATTTCTCTACTAAAATAGGTATTTTCAATTATAAATTTCCCAAAAGGGGTTTTGGGGTTTTGGGGTTTTGGGGTTTTGGGG